TTACTCCTTAGTACTAATATACTAATTATTAATTTTTATACTTTGTAGGGAAAATGAAGGTGAATTTGACGATGAATATGAGAACAAGTACGAGAATCTCAACATGTGTTATGATGTTCCACAAAACACAAATACTACATCTGAGGTGAATTTGAAGGTCTCATGCTCTAGAGCACGATCCCATGGAAATTTTCCATGGAATCGTGCTCTAGAGCACAAGACATTCAAATTTCTTGAAGGTCGCGTGCTCTAAAGCACGATTTCTTGGAAGATTTCAATGGAATCGTGCTGCAGAGCACAATACCTCCCTATTTTTCGTTTTTTTTCGAAAAATTCTTAATCCTAAATATGATTTTTACCTAAATTGTAAATGAAATTGATTGAAAGTAGTAGGATATGAAAAACAAATTAGCAGAATTGAGACTCGTTTGCTATAGATTGCAAGCTGGTTTTTTTTTCAAATGTTGAATGTGTTGAGAGAGTTTGGGAGAGGGAAAGAGAATTTCGAGAAGAAAAAAAATCAAATAAATGAGATTCCAGTATATTCAGTAATAATACCACTGCAAATAGCAACACCCTTATACTATCTCTCACTTTTAGAATGCCAGTATTATATTATTTAATACTCTAAATTATATCAAACATTAATTCTCACAATGAAATGAAGAGAGCAATTAATAAAATAGGTAAATGGCAAATAAGCTCATGATAAGGGCACTTAGAGGGTGTTTGGCTAAGCTTATAAGATGTTAAAAGGAGCTTATAAGATGTTTTAGAGCTTATAAGCTCTTCTAAAGTGTTTGGTAAATTTTTAGAAAAATATCTTTTTTTTATTTTAAAATAAGCTGTTGGAGACCAAATAAGATCTTTTTAAATAAGTACATCTACCCCACCTTTTTATTTAAGATCTTATAATGAGTAAAAATACGAAATAAGATCATTATCCAAACACTCTAAAAATTAATCCTAAAAATAAGATGTACCAGCTTATCAGCTCTAAAAACATCTTATCAGATGTAAGAGCTTATCAGATGTTTAAAATAAGCTTAGCCAAACACCCTCTTAATTAAAAAAGAGATATCTAACTTTTTTATCTTCCAAGTAATTGCAGCTCATTCAAACTTATTTGCAAATAAGGAAAACCCTACCCTCAATTCCTTGAAACTCTAATTCAACTCCAATTTCATAATTTACACTCCAATTTTGACCCGCCATTGCCGGAGACCGCTGGTCAGCCGTCGTTAACATTTTTTTTTCTGAAACTTTTTTGTCGGCAGGTCAACCGCCGGTCTCCGACGTTGACCCTTTTTTTTCGAAAACTTGTTTCTTCTTAAAAAACATATATTTTAATTAATTGTCTACAAAAGTAATTTAACTGTCTGAGACAGTAATATTGTTGCTTGAGATAGTAATATTGTTGTCTCTGAGACAGTATTTTTATCGTATTAATTAATTTTTATCGTCTTGACTTTCAATTTTGATGTCTTTGACCGTAATATTAATGTCTCCGACCGTAATATTACTGTCTCATGCATTAGTATTACTGTTCGGGAGTAATATTCATAATAATACTATTCGGTATTACTGTTTGGGACAGTAATATTACTGTTTTGGTATTCAATATTGTTATTTCAGACAATAATTTTGTTGTTAACATAGTACTATAGAGAGAGAAAAATTACTAAAAAAAGAAAAAAATCAACGCCAGGAAAAAAATTCAAAAAACTAAAAATATAAATATGAAAAGTCAACGCAGAATCTGTCCGGACAAAAAAAAATTCAGAAAAAAAAAATTATTTTCTAAAAAAAAATTCAAAAAATTATGAAAATAGGGGTTAATGTGATATATCTATTCAAATCTGAGGTCAATGTATAATATTGATGAAGTTAGAGAATAATGGATGGAATTGATAAAAAATATATTATGAAGGATATTTTAGACAAATGACATGCGGATGGGTTTATTTCCAAGACTGTTTTTTGTCTAGACCAATGTGCACTTAAGTCCCTTGTCATGGGCATATTTACCCTTCGCCCTAATACAATTGAATAAGACATCGACTAATAGACAATTGTGTGTCCCTAACAGAGGTGGAAATTGAAACGGAATTTCCGATTTCCACCGATTCCGATCATTTTTTTTCAATTTTGGAAAAATATTTTCATTCCAAATTCTGAAAATCCGATTCCGATTTTTTTTACTATAATATCAATATTAGTATACATTTTATAATTGAAGTGACTAAAAAATTGGAATTTCCAATACCCACCAATTCCGATCCAAAGATTTTGGATTTCGCAACAAGTTTTTTCATTCCAATTTCCAAAATTCGTATATCCCATTTTTTCTCCTTTCGTGGAACATAATTGGAGTGAATTCTTTTTCACTTTCGAAAAAAATCAGAATTTTCCCGAAAGTGAATTATTTGGATTATTAATTCAAAATTGTTTATTGCGAGAGAATAAAATAAAAAATAAAAAAATAATAATAATAAAAAATAAAAAGTATCATATTTAAATCCCCGAAATATCTTAACAAAACCCCCCACCAATATCTTAACAACCCCAAAAACATACATAACGGCTATTAGACTCGTTCAAAACAAGTCTCATACGTAACTCTCTCTCTCTATCTCTCTCTTTCAGCTACATCCAATCGTTGGTTATTAGTGTATCAATTTTTTTTATTTTTTCCTTAGAACAACATGTATTAATTAAAAGCTTACTAACTCTTCCGTTAGCCCTAACCCAACTCCGTTGACAAGCCATCCTATTTTTTATTTTCCGTCAATCTCTATTTTTCCCAGCCGTCGCCGTCGCCGTCAGAATAAGGTAGGCAACTACATCATCCAATTCTAAATTTCTAATGAACATTTTATTTATCTTTATATCTCTGTGAATTTACAGGCCATTAATAAAAAGTATCATATGATATGATATGGCAGCAGCCAGAAAAGGAATAGAATGTTCAACCTGGTACATTATTGCTTAATTACTTCATTTAATTTATATATATATAATATATATATATATATTCCAATTTTTTATTAATTTTTTAAATCTTAATAATTCAGGAGAACAAGGTCCAAATTAACATCAGAACTCCAGCTTCATATATGTGGATCACTCTTCACACTAGACAAAGAACTTCTGGCAACCAAATCATCAAAGATAGCAAAGCTAATACAAAGAAACCCTAATAATGCAGACCTCTCCAACCTACTCCGCGATATTCCGGCCGATCGAGAATCTATGGAAATCGTCCGAAGATTCTGCCACGGCATCGGTGCAAACCTCACACCCGAAAACATCGTACGTATCTCGTGCGTCGCTAAATACCTAGGGATGACGGACGATCACTGCCCCGATAACCTACTCACTAAAGCCCTCACTTTCTTCGAGTGCCGTGTTATCCCTAGTTGGAACAATTCCGTAAGAGCCCTCAAGAATGCGGAGAATATCCTCGATCATGCATCGGAGCTCGGCCTTGTCGACTACTGCGCTAAGTCGATCATATCGAAGGCCATGGAAGATCCTCGTTTGCTCGGAGAGTCAATCAAGATTAATATTCCGATCTCCGATGGAGAAGATTCCAACGAAGAAAACGTTTATAAACCGAACGCTAGAAGGAAGCTATTCGATATTGAGTGGAAATCCGAAGATTTGAGTTTACTCGGATTAAGATTGTATGCACCTTTAATCAATGCAATGATCCAGCGAAAAATCCCGCAAGAGAACATAGCAGCGAATATATGCCAATACGCGAAAACGTGGCTATTTTCCGACGAGGAAAAAGTAGACGAAACTTCGCGGAGGGAGATTCTAGAAGCTTTGGTGCAGCTTCTGCCTCACGAAAGATATATGGTGACGTGCACGTTTCTTTTCAACATGCTCCGTTACGCTAAATTCCTCGACGCCAGCTCAGATTGCATAAACGGACTCGAGCTAAGAATCGGTAAGCAACTAGACCAAGCCTCGGTCAAGGACATGATGCTAATACTTTCACAAGGGTACGCGAAAGACGAGAATTACGACACGGAGTGCGTTCGGAGAATCTTGAAAAACTTCTATATGCACTACACGGGGCGGGACCCGACGGGGCTAGGGTTAGTGGCGGAGCTCATAGACGAGTTCTTGATCGAAATATCGGCCAATATAGACTTGAAGATGGAGATTTTCGTAGCGTTTGCCGACATGTCGGTGGCGGCATCGGAAGGAATATTGAGCCACCGGACGTCGGACGGAGTATACCGTGCGGTGGATATATATTTGGACAAGCACAGGCATTTGACGGAGTCGGAGAAGGAGGAGATATGTAGGGTTTTGAATTGTAATAGGTTGTCCGGTGGGGCGTGCGAGCACGCGGCGCAGAACGAGAGATTGCCGGTTAGGTTTGTGGTGCAGGCTTTGTATGTGGCGCAGTTGAAGCTTAGGGAGGCTATTGTCCCGAGAATAGTGGGTGGTGGTGGTAGTGAGAATAGTAATAGTGGTTTTGTGAAAAGGGAGGAGGAAGAAGAAGGGGAGAGAATGGAGATAGAGAGGATGGAAAGTAAGGTGAAGGAGTTAGAGAGAGAGTGTAATGTGATGAGGAGAGAGATAGAGAGAGGAGGAGGTTGTTGTAATTGTGGTAGTGGATTTAGTAATTATAATAATGTGGTGAAGAAAAACAAGAATGGGAAAATGAGCATGTGGAAGGAGATGAAGAGGAAATTTGGGTGTGGAATTAGTATGTATGATGATTGCCATTGTCATGTCAAGAAGAAGAAGAAGGTGCATCCAAGATGATATATATATATATATATATATATATATATATATATATATATATATATATATATATATATATATGATTGGTTCATTTTTTTTCTTGGTGAGTTCATCTGTAGTTTATTGAGCATGAAACAGGGTCTATATCGTACGGTTTACTTCTTGTCTCGAGTGATTGTGTGTTTCTTTTTCAAAAGAACTTGATAAATAACTGCTTACTTGTTAAATATTTCAAGGTTTTAAGTACTATGAGGTATAAATTAATCTTGTAAGCTAAATTGTAATTGTAACTGGTATAAATTAAATATGTTAACAGTACAGTATACGAACATTAGATTTGATATTTCCTTTTGCCAAAAGGTTAGTTCGGAATCGGAGGCTAAAGATAGTAAAAAGAACCCCGGCCCTATTGACTAAATTCAAGAGTACTTTCCTGGAGTGTTTTAACTCTTCATTTGATGTGTTAAACATTCTTTCGACAGTTCAATGATAGCTTAATATGTTTGCTGCCAAATGTTTATCTGCCATTTAAACTATGGTAAAGAATGTGACAAACGTCTACGATGCTGATGAATGAATCAAAATCTTTATAAATTTAACATGGAAAAAGAATCAAACCCGAGAAAAGAATTTTAAAATACTACTCGTCTTGGATTCTACGGGACCACAAGGACCTCGTTTTAATAACTTGTCGCCTTTCTTTGCGGTTTTCAATAAAGTATTCTTCACAAGTTTAGAATCCACACTTTCCTGCGAGTCAGTAACAATTCTTGAATTCTCAATCTCAGTCACTTGAGAAGCTTCTTCATCGACATCGACATCAACTTCCCGAATCAGCTGAATTTCGTTTTGTTTTCTTTTCTTGAAGGGGTTATTATTAGGAATATTGCTCGACGCGAAGCTAGTCGGGACTTTTTTCTTTTTTTTGGAAGCTTCGTTCCTCAGAGGGAAAGCCAATTTTTCTAAGGCTATAGCTTCACTCGAGTGCAGCACTTCCTGTGTGATTGCTTTTGCATTCACTTGTAATTCTGAAGTGTCGGTTATTGCATGTGGAGGTATGTCACCTGCGAGATTCCATGATTAGTTACGGGATTCAGTTCGGCTAAATCTTTTCAAGATTTTAAACACATAAAAAGAAGACGAACCTCTAATTCTCTTTTTGCTAGTTTTGTGGCGAGAAACTATAGTGAAGGACCCTTCTTGCGTCGATTCAGTACTAGTTTTTTCTTCTCTCGAGAATCTTTCTCGGTGAAAACTAACGTGTCCGGGTTGAAGGAATTGATCAAAAGCCTCCATTGTACACGGATCCAGATTCCCTTCAGCTATTGCAATTGCTATTGAAGGGGATAAATCTCTAACTGCAGTCAAGGAAAGTGAGCAGAAAAAATAAAGGGTAAATTACGGCCACCCCTGATGGTAAGGTCAAATTACGAAAAAACCCCTCTTATTTGGGTAATTACAACCGCCCCTCAACTATGAATCTTCTTACATGTTCATCTTTGCGATGTCAAATGACCCAAACATGAGGGGGTTTTTCGTAATTTGATCTTACCATCAGGGGTGACCGTAATCTTCAACTTTGAATATTAGTAAATTACATTTGATTGTAATATATTCGAGCACAACTTATGAAAGACAGAGGATACGGCCCTAAGAAATCGAGATCTTGATTTTGATTCTGCAAAAGCTGTGGTGAAAGAGGCTTGAGGTGTTTGAGTTGCCTTGAAACTGAATCGTACCTGTCGAAATATTTCAAATAAATAGCAGATTTATAAGGCTATGAGAGATAACTCGAAAGAAACGAAGACTTTTTGTATGTATTTCTGTGATACATACACTCGGGCATGTTGGAATACTGCCACTGCTTCTTTGAAAGTCGTGTCGTAATCTTCAGGAACTACTTTACCCTTATCAAACTTCAACATTGATATAACCTGAAAAAAATTCAAATATATATTGTTCGTGCCGTCAACCTTTTCAAAATAACTCGAGACATTTTAAAAATACCGAAGTTCCAGCATATCATAAACACAATTATATATCAATATTTGTAGTCTTCACATTAATTGGATTCAAGAAAAGATATTTCCAGTTTCTTTGATATTGCAATAAAACAATGTTCTTACACGGTCAATATTTCGATACTTGGCAACAAAACCGTAAGCTTTTGCAATCCCGACTCCCGGTACTGAAGGAAGAAAATCACAACCAGCCAAAACACACATACCTAAAGAAAGCCATGTTTAGAATTCAATCAAGTGCGCCAAAAGTCAAACTTTTAAAGCTTGTGAAATATTATATTAATATATATACAAAAGTACCTGTGAACAACTCTCTATCGAAGTTTTTGAAAGACGGTACAGAACCAACAGTATTTTTAAAAACCTTTTCCATTATTATCTCTTCACCGTTGCCGTATCGATCCATTTTAAAGACTACCTGCGCAAAACATATAAGAAAAAGTCAACACTGCATAATCGAAACAGAGTTTGAATCTTGTTCGTCTACGTCAGAAATTAATTAAGATTCTTACAGCTGGACAACCATACGCTAATAAATCGCTGTCCTCTGAAATTACTGCAGCTATACCGCCCTTTTCTGCTTCAAGACCTGACAGATACGCCAGCTGTGCATCCGCCTCGTACGGAGCTACAACGTATTCAGTGTTCTCCGATCTTAAAATCTGCAAATTATCCGAATTTAAAATCCGATCAAAAAAAAAATAAAAAAGAATCTGCGATCGTTCATTTCGACAAAAATATGGAAGTACTTAGGAAAGTAAATCGACTTATCTTACCTGGATGAGTTGATATGCCATCTGTGGGGTCACACTCACAGCCCTCTACAAATACATCGAGTTACATTAGTAGACGAATTTTCCGTCTTATGATGAAACAAACACCACAATCTCGAGAAGAAAAAAAATTCGATCTTGATTCGTGTTTTAGCATTCTTGGAGAATCGGGCAAATTTCGGAGCTCTAAGTAGCTCCAGCATTGCATCCCATCCAATCAAAATCAAGAAATAAAGAATTAAAAAAAAAAAATCATACTTCACTGGAATCCGTTTAACTAATCAATGGCATCGAGAAGACCAGTTCAAATCAAGAAGATAAATAAACATAAAAATCGATTAATACCTGAAAAAACTCGGAGGCAGAATTAGAATCGCCGTCGTTGAGCTTTTCCATCGCCATATCGCGATTAGCTTTTCTTCTCCTATATCAACATCAATTCAAATAATTTAATAAATAAAATCGCATAAGTCGAATAAAGACGAAAATCGATGCAACCGTAAAATAAAATCAGTAAACATGCCTGTGCCTCTGATCTTCAGTAGTGGACTTACATGGAATATTCCCTCCGTCGAAAACAACTACGGGAGTAATATTATAGTGTCGAAGCATATTTATTCGATGCATAAAGTAACGTAAGAACCAGTATTTCTTATCCCCTTCCATATCCAAGCATATCTCCATACTACATGAATATGCTGCATAATCATACAATTTATCAAAATCCATTGCACCCAATAATAATGATAATAATAATAATTAATTCTCATATATTCAACATTCTTCAATTACAAAATACATTAAATAAATAAATAAAAGGAAATTTTGGATTAAGCTACCTCCTTTATGTAGCCAAGAGTATGCATCAATACCCACCTGTGTCCACAACCCAGAAGCCAAAATTAAAAATTAAAATAAATAAATTGAACATATAACTGCTAGTAATAATAATTAAAATGCAGAAATTAAGAAAGAAAAAAATAAAAAAATAAGAGGAAACAGTCTATCACTGCACTACACTAGAAATTCTTACACGTTTTCCAGCGTATTTCTTGATGTGAACGGGTTCGACATACGTCTTCATGAATTTCAGGAGATTATTTATGCCCATTTCCTGCTCGATTATTTGATTTTTTCTGATTTGTATATTTATCCTTTTTTTTTTTCTTAATATTTTGGGGTGAAGAAATGGGATTGGAGAAATTAGAGAAGATGGCGGGGATGTAATGTAAGAGTAGGGGATTTTGTTTTTTGTGTTACATGTCTGTGAGGGTTGAGATCAGGAATGACCAACCATGTGTTGCCACGTATTCGAAAGTTTTGGTCCCCTATTTGTTTGTGACGGAACGGGACTTTTTGTTTATGGCATTTTTCATACCCCGCCAAATGAATTTGAACTTCCCGCCACGTCTATTGCCAAAATGGGACTTCACGCACGTGCGGCGCAAAAGCTTTGAACCATATATTTTAGTTAAATGTTATTCATAGAACAGCCATGTAGTGCACTTTTCTATTTATTTGTAACTTTTGTTCAAAACAAATTCAAAATCCTCTTAACCTCTCTCCAACCCTCTTCGAATTCGCCCTAATTAAACGAGCAATCCGACAACGATTTGAGGTAAAACTCGAACTACATTTCGTCAATCCAATGTTTTATTGTTGTCGTCTACTAACAAATTGCATCAATTAGAGGTTTGTTATCGTCGATTCAGAGGACACCGAAAAAAAATACTACATTTCGTACAAAAAATCCTAAAATAAAACAATTAATTTCGTGATTTTTTTCACAAAACGTTGTTTATTTTTTGGATTCCTCTCTGTTTCGTGTATAAAACGATGAAATTTAAACTTAAGTTTCGTAAGTTTTCTTACGAAACATAAGTTTTATTTTTGTTGTACTATGCACGAAACGTTTTTATTTCTAGAGTTTTTTTTTTTTTTGCGGAGAAAACCATGGAATATAAGCCCATGTTTCGTAAGTTCTCTCTCAAAATCTAAGCTTATGTTTCGTGTTTTTCTCCACGAAATAGTGTCTTTTTTTTGGCTTTTTTGTTTTACTTATTATTACTATTTACACATAAAATTAACTTGTTTAATGTCTTATTTGACAGATGGCAGGTAAAGATAAGTCAAAGGCACTTATGCGAGCAATTCGTGCTGAGGCCGAGAAGCACGAGAGCGAGCGGATGACTATATCTATACGACGACGTAGGAATGAGGCAGAGAGAGTTGGTGTAGTTGGGGCATCGGTTGCACATGCCGATATCGGGTCTTCTCATGCTATGGAGGATGAGGAGGCAGTAGACCCCGTTCACGAGACCGAGGTTGTAGCTCTTGGAGGTCAAGCACGGGGCCGTGGAGGTCGTGGTGGTCGAGGTCGTAGTAATGTCAATCCGTTTGTGCTAGATGGTCCATTTCTGGATGCCCCTCGGGATCCTACTTTGATTCCGAGTTTCAAGTCGCACGTGGTGACATACATTTGGAGGGGAGAAGTAAATTAATTACTTGTTTTAATTTTAATATTTTAATTGTTATATCTTATATTTTAATGTTTTAATTGTATAATTAACTAATATGTGTTCTAAATAACATATTGTATTAACGGCCGGTAGGACGACTGGAGTCTCGTATAAGCTCCATGACCCAGTTCAACTGCGATATGATCGGAGATGCATTGGCCTCTTTAGGCATATATGTCACTGCATACAAACATTTTCTACGGATGACCGGTTTATACCCCCTAGCCCGCTCTTTCATTCAACACATAGATGGGCCATCGTTGTTTGCGTTCGTAAAGCGGTGGCAGCCAGAGACGAACAACTTTCATATGTCGTGGGGACAGATGACTCTCACTCTCCACGATATTCAGATAATATTAGGTGCTCATGTGGAGGGACGGCTGGTCCCTCCTAGGTACAACAAGGACACAGAGCGGACAAACTGTATGTATTCATTGTCCGAGATTATGAACCTCGAGCTGATGAGATTAACGAAGCATGGAAGCATGGTGGCCCCACATGGAGGATAATACAGGCACAGTTGTTGATGCCCAATACGCCCATGAGACGCCGAGTTCAGATGTATCTGGTGTTTTTTCTCGGGTCAGTTTTCTTTCCCAACAAGACGTGCGATCGGGTGAAGCCGGTGGTATATGCTCATGCTCGAGGATGCCGAACTTGATAATGTCGGCACGTATTCGTAGGCTTCGGCCGATCTGGCCAATCTATATATGGAGTTGGGTATATGCAGCCAAAGCACAGTCGATGAGCTTGGCAGGGTGCACCATCCATTTTCAGATAAATTGATATGTTTTATTTAATTATGTTTTCATAATATTTTTAAATTAATTTATTCTATTGTTTATTTAATTAAATATTCTTAAAAAAAATATCGCAGTGCCTGATATACGAGTACTTCCCGAAGTTTCAGCCGTCGGAGGAGAGCAATCAGTATCGTGACTTCCAACCTCGATGCAAGATATGGAACATGCCACCAAAATGTGATATGCAATATAATGAGTAATCTTAGGTATCTAGGAAGAAATCTGCCATATTTGTCATCTCTACGTACAGGTAACGTTTGAACGTAGGAATACACTTTAGATTAAACCGGTTTGGTATATGTGCAAATGTGCATTTTCACTAAGAGGTGCTTCATCTGCTTCATCCTAAACAAAATCCTAACCATAACCCTATCCTATCCCTATCGTCTTCAACAAATCAAATCTCTCTCAAAGTCGTCATCTACCATTATTTTCCAACAATCCTTTCTCTCACTCAGAAGCATATCTTCTCCTCTTCAAATTCTTCCCGAAACCTCTGGACAATATGACGAACTCTCGAAAACGTGACTCAACCACCGCATGTTCCAGAAGAAGCAAAAAACGTGATACTGGAAAGGGCAAGGAAACGGCGGGATCGGACTCGCACTTAGACCCAATGTTCGATGTGCCAGACATGGGTACTTTGGATAACGAGTTCAGATACTACAATTCACATGTGAAGGCTTTGGGCGAAGAAACGGTTGATGTAAAATTCTTGCTTGAAAGGCCTATTGATGAAACAAGTTTCATTAACTGGGGTGTGAAGCAACTCTTAAGGGACAGATGGTTGTTGGGTACTATCAAGCTTCTCAATAAACCTCACCGACTGTTAGTGTTTTGCGCTAGTTTTATGCGAATCTGGATATGAGGGCTGGAGATGATGACTCAGATGGTTATTTTAAAGTGTGTGTCCGTGATGCTATGTTCGATTTCAACCCTACCAAGAGAATGAAATCCTAGGCACAAGAAGTGGGGGAAGGTTGACAACAAGGCTTGGCAACGAGCGGTTGGCGAAGAAGTTGACTGGAGCTAAAATGCTGGAGTGGCCCGTTCTCTGTGTTTGGCATTCTCATTTGACAAAGATCTATGCAGTTCTTCACGAGATTGAATGTTCCAATTGATTCTCAACCAATAATTCTGATGATGTGTCAATCGACCAAGCTGTGTTGTTGTACAATGTTGAAAGGAGTTTGGACTTTGATATGGGCGAATTTATTTTTCACCGCATATTGGATGGGGCAGAGCGTGTTCCTGAGTGTTATTTTTTCCTATTATAATCTTTGTTTTATTGTATGAGCAGGATTACAGGGTGCCCAAGGCTGCTGACTTCAATTCAGTGGACCCGCTTCCAATCAAAGTCACCTCATAATTCAATCTCTTCCATTCCGGGAGAACCAGTTGAATGTGATACGTGGTGGAGTTTCCACCTTTAAAGCTCATATTAGAAGTTTCTTCATTGTTCTAGTTCATAAGACCCTTATTTGATAGGTTCACAAATGAAACATTGTTCGTGAATAAATACTACTCAAATCCTCCAATGCATAGTGGTGATTTAATTCTACGGTTGAGACTTGAGAGTGACTCAATAAATGTTTTAGATACATTCTAGAAGGCTAAAGGCTATATAGAGAGGTTTTTAACGTGTTCTTGAAAATACCTACAATTTGGTGACAATTTTCTACATATTTCTACAAAATAATAAAATGAAGATATTATATGCATAATAAAATGATAAAATGCAGTTTGAATTTTACTCAATACAAATTCGAATTTATGTGTAGAGGGGCATTTTTGGAATGAATTTAATAAAGGATGTGAAACAAAAGTTTAGTTAGGTTTGTCATTTAGTTCAAATTAGTTTTGGACCTATATCAGAAGACCCCTAAAACAAAAAACAAGTCAAAGTGAGGAAAAAAAGGAAGAGAGAGAAATGAATAGAGAATATAAAACTACGGATAAGAGAGAAATAAGGAGAAGAGAGAGAAAGAAGAAGAAAAATATGGATAAAAAATGGCATAATGGGCATTAACACAAGATTAGGGGATCACACAATTCAGAAAATATTATATGAGTTTGTTTATAAAGGGTCAATTATAAATTGGGCCCATACTCTATTATTTTACCTAATGAGGGGGCTATCCCTCATTTTCCCTTATATAAAAACGTGTCAATTAAATACAACCAACCGTTAGTGCTACAAAAAATGCATATTTGTATTGAAGGAGATAAAGTTACACATACAATTTTATTTTTATTATAAGTTACTAGCAATTTTCCCCGTGCGATGCACTGGGTAGTAGGAATGGCAACAAGTCGATTATGGGGCGGGTTTATCTAAACTCGAGACTCGACCGGCGAAAAATATATAAAACCTAGACCCACCACAACCCATATCCGAACTAAACGGTTCTGACCCGCCAAAATCGCTAGACCCATTAACAAAAAAAAAATTAACTTTCATAATATTTTGCTTGTATATTTTAACAAAAAAATCTTAAAATTAAAATACAATACTTCTATAAACTTTTACAAGTGATATAAAGTGAATAATAAAATTATATAATTAATTAGATTTAACTTCTACAATAAAAAAGTTCAAAAGGCAAGTGGTCGACAAATTTGATAGATATTACTTACGAGAAACAAGATCCAAAAAACTTAAACAGTGAAAAATCGGCAAATGAGAATATACACGATGAAAGTTAGAAATTTTGTGAATGAAATCATAAATTAATTTGTATATATATAGATTAACTATTAAATATAATATATTTATACGGCTCATTTTTTAGTCAGTTCCAATAAGATCCGTAACCCGACGCAAAACCGTCCAATTCTAGAAAATTAAACTTACTATCCGACCGAGAACCATTTAACTTACCCAAACTCGCTCCAAACGGGTCGATTGCGGCTCTAAAACCCGGTAAACCCTTACCCACGGGGTAGCATTGCAAATATGAAGAAAATTTTAATATATGATAACTAGATTTATTAAAAAATATATATATATATACAATAATAAACAAATTGCATCCGGTGTGTTTAAAAAAGAGAATTGTTACAAAGAAATTGCAAAACAAAAAATAAAATAAAAATAACAATCCAGAGTAGCTTAAGATTTTGCTAGTCGATTATTTTCAAATCTTGACCTGCAATTTTGT